GGCTTCTAATCGTTCTCTAGCTAGGTCAGTGAGACTGAAGGAGTCTTGGGAGGATCAGGAGAAACAGTTTACGGGGGATCAGAGAGTTCATTTCTCTCACCCAGAGACCCTTGGGCCTGTTAGTGGCACCGCACTCCGCCGCTCTGTTATCTCGAACCATTCCCGCCAGATACTCCCACGTTACATCATACTTGCGAAAAGAACGAGCGATACAGGCACACACGACGAACATGTATGTTGACTCTGCGAGGATCGCCTACCGTGCCATTCGCGATCCCGAAATGGATGTGCTGGTGACTGGATGTGGTTGTGTCTCGTTCCCGCCAAAAAAAGGTGATGGCAGCGTACTCGTTTGTGGGTACGAATCACCACTCATCAGCGAAAGTATCTTACCACACTGAGTTGTTATTTGAAAATACCTACGCTTGGAGTGTGGTGAACTACAAAGAGGTCCAATAAGTGGTCTCTTTCTCTTAGATGTGATTGTCATTTCTCGCAGATCTATCCATAGGCAATCCTCATGCATGTTTGTTCATTTTCAATAATTCAAAAAATGACACGCACTGTGGCTGTTCTTTTGCCTCACCAGCAAAATCATGCCCTCCATCAACGCCTCCATGCAGGCCCCCAGAAGTCAGACTTTTTTGTCTGATTTGCTTGTTTTAGTCTGAGATTTCAGACTTTTTTTAGGGTGTACTCTGTAAAATTCAGAGTTTTTATTGTCTCAAGTATGTGAAAATCAGATTTTTCTCTAGGCTGACTCTGACGTTTCAGAGTTTTATGGGAGTGTACTCTGATGAATTCAGAGTACAAACGAGTTCCGACTCTGAATGAATCTACCTGCGCGCTGACACCCAGGATTAGCTGTGGTACATACATTGTACCTGTACCGCCGCCCTGCGGCCCGGTGTTTCCCTCGTACAGCTGGATGTAGTGGTCGAGACAGAAGAGGAGCGCGTTCTTTCTTTCCCTCGGTGTAAGATGCTGCAGCAGTTGCCATGCCACCCACGTAAACGTGATGGCAAGCAGACGCTCCTTTAGGCAGCATCGTGTACCACGATGCTGCAACATCCACACCACACACTGCAACGATGCGCCTCGTCGTTGCCGTGCATTGTAGGCAACCACCCACACAACTCAATGATGGCCCATCTTGGTAAAGGGCCTTCGTGTTTGTGCTAGGGTTTCATCCACACCCCTCAGCTACATCTCACGGGCCCAAGCCAGTGCCCAGTTTTGCCTCAGCCATCATCTCTCTAGTTAGTTCCTGCTCGGCAGGCTCTTTCACAGCCCCGCCATGGCGGTGCTGGACAATCCCGCCACAAGCGACGACGACCCTGATGAGCGGCCTGCCTTAACAGGCTTGGACTTCTTGCTTAGTACACTAGATCTCGATAAAGCTGCACGCGTCATGCCCGATACGATTCCCATACAGAAAGCACCCGCGGCTCCAGTTTTCTCACTTTCTGCCGACCATGTGGCAGAGACATCAGCGAAACCAACCGTTGATTCACAGTCGCAGATTCCGACGCAGACCACGGCGCGCACGACCCGTCTCAAGCAGGCGACCTTGACCTTCGGCAAACCTGCGTCGTCAACTGCCAACGTCAAGAACGCTCCCGGAACATCTGATCGACCGCGACCTCGCCTCAATATCAATCTGGCCGAGCTCATCGAGGGAGTTTACGACGAAGCGATTGACAAGTTCAAAAATCATTGGTCTACCCGTTTTAAGTGGCTCACAATCACTAAAACCACTACCGGCTTGCCTGCGTTCAAGTGTACCGTTTGTGCAGCCTTTGCTGGGGATGCAGGAACTTGCGGGAGGCGCGGGAGAGGCGCCACCGACCTGCAGACACAGTCTTTCCGTAAACACGCTGGCACGGCGAAGCACAAGCTGGCGGTTGAGAGACAGAAATATGAAGAGGAGTGCGGTGGACGGCAGCCACAGATCGACCAACATTGCGCCGCGGTGGACAGTGAGAAGATGCGGACCGTCGCCCTTCTGGACTCGCTGCTGTTCATCAGCAGGTCCGACGCGCCCATGGGGATGTGTGTGAAACTGGTGCGGTACTTGTCGGAGAAGGGCGTGCAAGGCTTCCCTAAGAGAGGGTACGGCACCTACTACACCACGTGAGTGCAACTGCCGTACGCCTCTTTATAAGTACCCACGTTTTAATAATGTTCTAACTAAATTGTTACTGACTATTGGTTCCATGTGCAGATACGGCTTCGGTGAGCTGACACAAGCTACAGCCACATGGCTCCAGACAACCCAGCTGCAACATGTGCTATCGTCGCCCTTCGTCGGCATCTCGATTGACGAGAGCACGGATAGGTGCCGCGGGAAGCACTTGATCCTGTTCATCACCTTCGTCCGTGACTTCAAGGCCGTCATGGAGTTCATGGCGCTTCTCACCGTGGAGAGGCCGACGCCGCTTCTCTTCTGGGCGTTCTGCTATCACACCTGCAGGCAGTCGGGGTCGACCTGCAGCGCATTGCAGGCATCAGCACCGACGGCGCGAACGTCATGATGGGCTGCAAGGACGGCCTCACGACACGCCTCCGCATGCGCATTCCCCATTTGGTGTCATCCCACTGCATCGCTCACAGGTAAACCTGTAGGTGCATAGGGTTTTTTGAAGTTCTTTAACGACTACATGTGACTAATGTTTCCCTTTTTGTTTTTACAGGGAGGCACTGGGGGCTAAAACAGCCGCAGAGAAGATTCCCGCCTTCAACGTCATTGACACGGTGATCCGCACCGTGGCTGAGCATCTCGGTCGAAGTGGGCCATGGCATCAGCGGTTCATGGGGCTGCAGGAAGTATTCACCTCCACCTCACTGGAGCTGCAAGGGATCCATGCAGTCCGTTGGCTTTCGCGGGGCGACGCAGTGCTCAGACTCGTCGCCGTCCTTCCGGCTCTCATCGTGATGTTGAAGGAGTGGGACGCGACGCTCTATGCGCTGGTGACGAGCTACAGGTTTCATTTCCTCCTGTTTTTCATTGCAGATGTGCTTGAGCAGCTGAACATACTCAACAGGGCATTCCAGCACAAGGAGGTAAGCTCTGGTTTATTGTTACTAGTTAAGTCTTTGTGCTAATGCCAGCTTCGTTTCTTCTAACCTTAGTCACTAACCACATGTCCACGTGTTTTTTTCCAGCTTGATTATGCCAGCGTGCATGCGCAGATCAAGCGTACAACATCCCACATCGAGAGCCGCTACGTCGACTGCGGAGACGACTTCGGAGGCGGCGTCAGCGAGCTGCTGTCCCCCTTCATCGCGCGCCATGGGCCTGGAGAAAACCGGGAGGTGAAGGTTGAAGGGATTGATTCGGACGGCCGACCAGCACGCTTCAAATTCGTGCTGCACGAGGACGAGCTGGAGGAGTTTGAAGGGCCCGGCACCCACGATGGCTGTATGGAGGTTTGCACAGAGTTTGCCGAGGTGATCGTGCACCAACTGGAGCACCGGCTTGGCGACCTGAACGGGATGTCCGGCGCTAGGCTCTTCACCCCCGACGAGTACCCGTTAGAGCGTGGAGAGAGGAACCGCAGGTGCCTCGAGTGGCTTCGGTCGCTTGTCACGCTGTTCAAGGCCGACCTGTCGGATGAGATCCTGCCAGGTAAGCCATTACGCAGCTTGGTTTTAATATCAGGCTACCCCGATGCATCGTTTGTATTGCATGTCGCTTCAACTAATGTTTGAATTTGGGTTCTGAGCTTGCTCCTCCCGTTTTACTTCCTACCCCGTCAGGAATTGACAAGCGCCGCGCAGAGAAGGAGCTGCGCATGTTCACTTCGGTGCTTGCAGCATCTACCAAGGGCGAGCGCAATTTTCACGCGGGTCTCACTGCCATGCTCAAGACTCCCGACTGGCGGGAGAACTACCCCAACTTGGTGCTCCTGTGGGTGGCGGTTGCTGTACTGCCGCTGAGCCCCGTGGAGTGCGAGCGGGGGTTCTCCCGCCATAACATCATTAAGTCGTGGAAGAGGGGCGCGCTCAAGGATTCTTGCCTGGGGGACCTTATGTGCATGAGCTTGATGGATTACGCCCCCGACTGGGATGAGATTGTGACAGTCTGGAGGAGTTACAAGAAGCGCAAACCCCAGAGCAACGCTCCACTCCCGCCCGCAGGAAAGCAACACAACAAGGGCAAGGAGGCAAATGAAGAGATGGATGTAGTAGTTGACCTAGAAGATGAGCAGGATGCAGTTGACTCCGATGATGATGATGGATTTAATGAGTAGGAGTCTAGGAGAGGAGGATTAGTAGGATGTTGTAGTGCTAGGATACATGAATAGGGTAGTTCTAGCTGGGAGCTAATCAAAGAAAAGTAGCATTTTGTTTGTAGGCTTTTGCAATGTACGTTACGTAGTTCAAACAAGACAAACAGTTCAGCAAGATAGCTAGAAAGACAATCAGACTTGATAGGCGGGTGATTCTGAATCTTTGAGACTTTTATTTTAGGGAACTCTGAACTATCAGCCTTTTTTTTTTTGCAACTCTGTCAGATTCAGACTACAACTTTGGGAGAGTCTGACGAATCAGACAGGCTAAAAACGAATCTGAGGGCCTGCCTCCATGTCTTTGCCACTCATCTCCCATGTACCACATCCACCTCTCTCCTTGAAACTAGAAGTGCACTTGCATTTCAACCGTCTTTTGTCTCCATGACAACAGCCAGGCAGCAATGCATTGCAATCTCCACCCCTTGTTTAGTTGCAATCTCTTGCGTGTGCAGTCACTCTCACTTGCTCTCTCAATTAGTTACTGTCTCTACATCTCAGATGGCACAGCAGCAAAGCTCTTCTCCAACGTACCGGCCTGTCTTGTTTTTTTTTTTTTTTTTTTGTGCTCGAAAACATGTTTTAGGTGCTCCTCTGCTGCATGTAACAGAACACTCACAAGCAGATGATAACCAAGACGAGTTACACAAAATCACCCACGCTGAGACAACCAAAAGCACTACTTCCCGATCCCATCTTCCATCTAAATCACAACCTCTTGTGCGACCATTGCAATTTGCCACCAACTTCATCTCGTTCTTCCAGTCCTCCCCATATTCCCTTCCCCTCATCCTCCTCACCAGCCCCTCCCACCGTGTTATCCTCGTCGTCGTCATCACCCGCCCTCCAGCCATCATCTTCGCTGCCCAATCCATACTCATGGTTGATCCCCCAGTCCTCACCACCACTCTCTGCACCCTCCTCCTCCCCATCTGCCTCTTCCCCTTCACCTGCCACATCTCCCCCCTCCTCATCCTCTGCCTCCTCCCCTCCTTCCTCCTCCTCTTCATCAACCGCCACTTCCTCTCCCTCCTCCTCGGCCTCCTTGTTCTCTCTTCCACGAAGGCCCCTCCTGTCTCGCCATGGGAGCGAAGGACACTCACTGATATCAACTCACGCAACGTTGGCATTCTCCGGATAGAAGATGGCACCCGAACCAGCTTGTTGCACGCAGTAACTAGCAGCACCTGTAGCTTAGGCAGCTTAGCAAATGACTCAGGCAAGCTGCGGACCTGCTTCAGCCCGAGCAGCACCAACTCTTGGAGGGAAGACAGCTCCCAGAAATTTCCTGGAAATTTTGAGATCCCAAGCTTGATGAGCGTACAGAACTGTAGCTTGGACAGATTTGCGAAAGATCGTGGAAGTTTCATCAGCGTTGTAGCAGTCAATAATCTCCAGAGTCTCAAGCATTTTCAGCTGCCCAAAAGACTCGAGCAGCTGCCGTATTGTATCGAGGCAAACCAGCTGCAAGACACGCAGCCCTGCCAGCCCCCCAAAGGTCTCAGGCAACACCTCCAACCTTACAGCTGAATATATCCGTAGCCTTTTCAGGCGCGAAAGTTGACAGATGGCTTCGGGGAGTGATGTAAGGTAGTACATATCTAGGAGCTTCAGCTTCGTGAGAGAGGAGAGCTGGCCAAGGGACGGACCAAGGGTCTGGTAAGGAAGGGACTTCAACTTGAGACTCTTGAGGGATGGAAATAGTACCCTGCTGGTGCTGCTGCTGGCGATGCTCCTGCCGGAGCTGCTGGCGGTGCTGTTGGAGCGTGCAGAAGAACCCCTGGCAGTACGTTTCAGCACGACCTCATCCCCTAGCAGCGCGCCAACCCCATCACACACCCGCACCTCCAACAGCCGCACTCAGGGCAGCTCAGCAAGCGACGCAGGGAGACACTTCAGGCCGTCCATCCTTGCGATCTGACCACCTCGAGCGCCTCCAGCCGTCCGATTTCCCCGGGGAAGGACCGTTACCTTAGGGCATCCTATCACTTCAAGTCTGGTGAGTGAAAAGACGCCAGAGAAGGAAGCATGAAGGGCGGATAGTTCTGGAATGTCATGTGTCAAAAATGTCATTGTTCTCTAGCCTGTAGTGGGGTACTCTATAGCGAGTACAACCCCTTAGGGTTTCCTATATGTATCCTGCTGCTTTCTAGTGAAGCCCTCTTCTTTCTTCTAAACTTTCTCATGCTATCAGAGCAGGTCGATCCCCTTGGATCGATCCTGTGGGTGGGCTCACCACCTCGTTGCTCCGCTGCAACTGCTACTGCTACTCTCTGTGCCGCAGCAGCCCCGTGGCGTGCGGCAGTTTTTTCTTCCCGCCGTGCGCCCCGAGGTGTGCGGCGGTTTTCTGCCCGCCGTGCGCCCGAGGCGCGCGGCGTTTCTCTGCCGCTGTGCGCCCCGAGGCACGCGGCGGGCTGCTGGCCCGTCCCCTCGGCGCGTCGCCCTCGGGAGGCGTTGCGACGGGCGACGGGGACCCGCGCGTCGCCCCCCCGTCGCCCGTCGTGGCCTGCGCGCGGCCCGTACAAGCAGCGCGCGGCCCGTACGGGCTGCGCCGGGACCGGGCCTCGCCCCGGCCATGCTGCGTTCGCCCGTCGCGGCGCACCGAGGGCACGTGCACCGCCCCCGCCCCCCCCCCCCCCCCCCCCCCCCCCCCCCCCCCCCCCCCCTTTTTTCCACAATCGCCCGTCGCGACTCCCTCGGGGACCTGGGGGAGGGGGGCGAGCGCCGCCCCTTCTACCGCCTGTTTGGCGCCCTGGGAGGCCGCGCGCAGTCGTCCCCCCCCCCCCTCCCCCGTAACCTCCCTACCCACCATCCCGCCCTGCCAGTATTAGGGTTTGAGGGGTGGCAAGTAGGGGGTGGCGA